TCGCATGTAAATTTATTTTTACTTGCTTTGATGGGACCCCGACGGGTGTTTAATTAACAATTATTATGTGCCTAAGTCAAAGGCACATCCATTTGCCTTGTCAGCCACTCCGACTCCGGGTTAATCTAGCTTCAGTCTAAAACCCTTTTGTCCACATTCGCTAACAGTGCCACAAACACCCCAACACAACACGTCGCATGTTCCCAACTGCCCCCAGCCCTCATACCGATACCGTTAGGCCGAGTATGCCGACATTCCCGCCTTTTAATAGAACTCTTCCTTCAATGGATGAACTGCTTCCCCCATCCTCAACCTGTTCCCGCAGCGGCCATTTTACCATGCTTATGTCCATACTGGGTCAGTTAACTCATCCGATTCTCAGTTTCATTCCGGCGGGAATGTGTTGCGGTATCCGTCCCGCGGATTTTCAGTTGAAAATAAGTTAGCAAACAATGGTTACCAGCTTACCTGCCCGTCATTCCCTCCCCCAAGTCCTACCCCTTTTTATCCACGTCAGAATTTTTCGATGTCAAAAAATTTTTGCAGAACCGGATGGTCGCATCCGGACCGTTTGCTCCGTGTGCAGGCAAGCCTTGGTCGATGTAGCCCACCTCCCTCAGAAACAAACAGCCTTTCCTTCCAAACTTTTAGTTCTAAACGCCAGATCCTTGCTAAATAAGATGCCTTTGCTTCAGACTCTGGTGTTCGTCCATTGTCCAGATATCGTTTTAGTAACTGAGACATGGGCATCAGCCTCCGTAGCTGACTCCGAACTCGCTTTTCTAGACTATAATTGCATTCAAAATGATCGCCAAGATAGCCGTGGTGGGGGCAGTTGCGTCAACGTTAAGCAAACACTTACATTTCTGCCGCTGGATCTCCCGCATTTTTCCGCAGTAGATTGCAACTTCTGGCTCCAAGTTGCACTAAAATATTAGTTCTCCTTACTCGTTGGCTGTGTCTATCGCCCTCCCAACGCCAACGACAATTTTGATCGTTTACACTCACATGCATTTCATAATGTGGCCGACTTAAGCTTTAAGTATCAATTGGTAGCGGGTGACTTTAATCTCCCTGAATTACGCTGATCTCCGCCTTCAGGCCCCAGAAGGTTCGAAGAGTTTCTTGAGGCTGTGGATGTTGGGATGTGGAATCAGGTTGTCGATTTTCCCACCCGAGGCTCAAACATACTTTGACCTAATTTCTGTAGAGGCTGCATGTCATCGTCAGTGTCATCCTCAATCGTAACAAATGCCAACTTATCCGATTACGTTCGAGCAACAGGAAGCCGTTGAGATTCGAATCTCAGTACTTTATAGGAGGTCACTAACTCGAATTAGTCAACGAGTTAAGAGACCTCGGTGTGTGGATGACATCAACTCTCAAACCATCGTCTCACTGCGCCAAGGTATCAAAGAAAGCTATGAGTATTCCTGGCGCGATTAGAAGATCCTTCGTCAATTTTGATGAAGAACTTTTCGGCCGAGTATTTGGCGCATATGTTCGACCAATGTTGGAATATTGTGTCCAGGCATGGTGTCCCTGGACGAAAAAAGATTACACCCTACTGGAGAACGTACAACGTAGAGCGACCAGGCTAGTCGGCGGATTATGTGGCTTACCTTATGAGAGACGACTGGAGAAGCTAAAAATATTTCCTCTCTCTTATAGACAGTACAGAGGGGACAGGATCATGGCCTTCAGGATCCTCCGAGGGCTAGATTGTGCTCTTCAGTTTGACGACTTGTTCGAATTCGGCGTTGCGATTCGGCGTTTTCGTCAATCTTATAGTCCAGGCCCTGATGGTGTCCCAGTAAGCATTTTAAAAGCCGATGCAAACACGATCTTCCCATCCCTCTTATGCAAGATATTTAATCTTGCTCTTGAAAGTGAA